CATATTTGAAGCTAATGAGAGACTGGGAGGCTAATAAATGAAAGTCTTTGGCCTGAGACTTAACATGGTAAACCATCTAAAGAAACAATCTTATTGTCATAAAGACTTATTGTCCAATACAACACTTCTCTAATGTAACGCCAAAACGTTATGATTCACTTTATATCAACCTCAAACTCTCCCGGGGAGAGCTGAGTACAAAAACCACTGATGCTCCTGCAGGAGGAACAATCGTCTACAACTTTTGACCCCTTCGTTATGAAATCTATCAAGCACAGACTCATCGATCAAACAATACTAGAAAAACAAAACAATGCAATTATTTAATGTACAATGTTCAATCATGCTTCTAAATATAAAATGCATTTGTCTCTTGACTTCTTGCATTAGAGGAATGTGCTCATAAGGAAACACAGGTTCAATACCCATTATGACCCGATGGCTATTACCTAATATATCATCATTATTGAACCTACTACTGTATACTGCTGCTGAGCACAGCCCACACAAACACACAAATCCTTAACACCAACCAAGCAAAAACAAGCACACACACACACATGCACACTGTATATTACAATTTCCTGGTGGGGATCTGCTGTGCTTCATTTAGGAGGCTGGGTAAACTGTGATATGGAAATGTGTAATGCAGGGGCAAAGGTAATATTACAGTATTACAGTGTCACTATGTGTCTATTAATATGGGCTCCGCAAGTGGAGCAGTCAGCAAACACAAAAGCTGCCCCAGCAGAGGGGGAGGAAGAGGAGGAGGAGGAGAAAGGGAGGGAGGTTGGGGTCGTGAAGCTGGCCAGGTGGGTGGTGGCTGGGGAGATGTGATGTGATTATAAAACTCATAAACCGTGACAGAAACAGAAGGTTTACTGTCTCACAATGTTACGCTGAGTTCTGAAAGACCTTTACTAAAAAAAAATAAATAAAAAAAAAACATATTGTGTGTGTGTGTGATTCCCTGCTACGTTATCCTGTTTATCTGCAGACTGGAGAGAAAATAAATGATGCTGTGATCACCCTCACTCGCTATATCACACACTCAAAGTCACAGCACCTGTTTTGGTAATATTCATGATATCAGTTTTTGTGAGGGGATTTAGATGAGAAACGACTGTGAGAAAAATACTTTTGCTAGAGGAGGAAAAGATTTATTCTCATCAGGAAGGAGATGAAGTTTTGATTTGGTCGGAAGTTACAGCAGAAACAGGCAACTCTGACCACAGGGGAGAAAAAAAAACAGGTTGTTTTTAATATAAAAATGATGAAAGACCACTCTGGCCATTTATGTGACACACTTTCAATACAACAATGAATCCGTGTAGAACTTAAAGTATGTTAGATTGCACATTCAAATGTCATTGTGCAATTACTTGATATGACACACTCCAGAGAAAGCTGAAATGTCAAAATTACAGTTTTTAATATATTAAAATACTTCTGGATTATGTTCAATGGCAATGCTCTCATCCAGTAAGTGTGCCACTCTTATACTGTCCCAAATTTAAAAATCTTGTTGATGACTTTGTAATTTATTACATTTGGGGCAATTCATTATTGAAACTGTATACATACTAGTGTATTTATTTTTAGTGCAAAATATCATTCCTGTTCCCTTTGTGTTCACCTCCTGGCCACTGTCGAGGCACAGGCAAGATACCAAACCCCCTAACTGGGGGGGTCGCTATGTGGCAGCCCCATCCTCTTGACATCTCTCCCATTAATTGCATGTCTATGGGTCCTGTGTGTGCATGTTTGTATTTTTAATACGGCTCGAGCACTTTCACTGTGTGTGTGTGAACTGTTTAAGGAAGTGGAGTTTAATGGTGCAGATTGATAAAATAATTATTATTCTCTTCTTCTTCTTTTTGTCTTTAAAGTGTTCAAATTAAACATGGTGTCTTCCTAGTCTCACCCAAGTGATTTGAGTCACCTAAAAACATTAATCATACTTTAGCTGTCAGGAGTGTCAGGAAAAGTAATGATAAACATTGACAGTGAACTTCTTGCAGATGCATTCGATATGAACATTTCAATGTTGTGACAATTTTCTGTCTCACAATTTGGAAAGCGAAATTTCTCATACACAAAAGTCCTACTGCTTGTTTTGTTGCTGATGAAAATGAAATCGGGGCAGCATTACGGTTCCAAACAAAATGTATTAAGTTGTCTGGAAATTAGATTTATAGGAGAAAGAGTTGCACAGACACTCACATGCACACACAATAAAAAACGCTACACAGGAGATAGAGGAGCTCCTCGATGAGGGTATTCAGATAATTCTAGTCTCTGTCAGAGGCCACAATGCAACAGGCGGACTGCAAAGAACATGCTGACCTCAATGTGATAAACGACCCTGACATTTACATTAGCTGCTGACTGATGTGCATTTATCAGGAGGACACACACACTGAGCATCAATTTCAGTCACAAAGGAGATGAAGTGTGGAAGAATTCCTATCTTAAATGCAGCACCTGGGCTTGTTGCCGCTCCGCTCTTTGTGTCGTCTGCACTAACTGGCTAGTTAAAGGTCTCATCTGCCACCGCAAGCAGATCAATGCTTTTTTCAGGTAGGTGGAAGGTTGGGAATCAGGGAGAGGAAAAGGGATCGGCAGAGTTACTAGTGTGAGTAACAACCCCCCATGAGAGCAGGGGTCTAGATCAATGCCTGCACATGAATGAGAGAGAATAAAAATGGGGGAGTAGAGAGAGAGAAGGAAAGATAGACTGCTGAATCCAGCACAGACTGAACAAAAGAGGAGAGTGGCTGAAATGGACGAAGGGAGGAGAGAGAAGCTAAGAAATCTGGCAGATGGCAGGTGAAGAGGTAAAGACAGGAATAAAGAGTGATGGAGAGGGAGCAGAAAAGTGGAGAAAAATAGACAAACAAGGGTGTAAGAGATTTCCCTGTGAGAGGATAAACGCATAAAAGGACAGAAAGGACTGACCGGAGGAAGGGGAGAGCTCTCAACATCGTCACGGTTCTTCTATATCAGTCTCCATCAACGGCCCGACAAATTGTTCTTTATTTTCTCAATTGCTTTTAAGGAATGGAGTCATTTTTCTTTCTTTTGTTCGGGGAAATCTGTCACTATTATCAGGCTTTCTGCTGCAATTGTACAATAGACGACATATAAAATAGTGACTTTTGGCTCTATTCTCTTTCTGCTTTCCAATGAATTGCTTTTCTGACTCATTACTGAGTCATCGCAGTATTTAACTTTAATGTTATCATTAAAGAGCGTGGGTGCAAAACGGTCAATCTTGGCTTAGTAGAATCAATAAATGAAATCACGATGAATCACAGATTAATTAATTAATTAAGTAAAAACAGTAAGGTCATTATTCTTAACATTTGTAAATAAATAATCTAAATAATACAAGCACACGAGTTCGGTACGAAAGGACCTATTTATTGTTCACTAGTGGAATAAAGCAGCTTTGAGTAGCTACTCTGTCAGAAATACAACAGGAGAAGACACTGTAGCTGTAGCTATAGGCTACTCATATCGATGGCATCATGTTTCCTCTTGAAAAAAGCTCAACATTTACACAGAGATGCAGTTCCGCAGTTGTTTCGAGTGCCCTGCTGAGTGCAATGCTGCTAAGGTCCAAAAACTGAACTTGCTTGGGGCCTTTTGGGGCATGCATCAAAGCGTCAAAGTATTTATTTTTAGATGTTTTTTTGTGACTTTTATTGTATACCCCTTGGAAAAAACACTGGTGACCTCAATGGTGGTTACTGCCATGCTTACCAGAGGTGGCGGTTCTCAATAAGAAGCAAGAGTACTCATGTGGACAAATATCAGACGTGCCTGTACTCAGTAGTGGTAAGTACTGGCCCGTTTCAGGCAACGGAAAAGTCGCTGTTAGTCCACAGTTAGCATGGCTAACTTTTTAAGATTAAAAAGATTAAAATAAGCCTTCATTTTTTTGTTGAACTGTCTAACTTGCATTGGACTAATCCCGGGATACAAGGCAACCTGTGGATCTGGAGTCGCATGTAGCTCTTTAGCCCTTCTCCAGTGGCTCCCTGTGGCTTTGACAAAAAATTATATGGACACTTTTATTTATTTTTACGATTGTTTTAGGCATTAAGTGATTGTTACATCCTCCCATTGTAAAAATGTGTAGCCACTACACACCAAATAAAATAAATGTTTCAACATTTCGTCAACTAAAATTGGCGTCATATGTTGTATGTATGTCTTGAGTCTACAGCTACTCGAGCTATTGATTCCAAGTCTCAGAGGAAAATAGAGAATCTTGTTTGCTTCTTTCACCACCAACCCTGCTGGCTCACTGGTATGCTTGATTAGCATTATGAGCCTCAAATATGTTTTGCTGTTTTTGGGGCCAAAAATGTCTCTTTTGATAATAAAGGTTTCTGACCAACCCACTAATCTAAGAAGACAGTAGCTTCAGTCGAGCGTAGGTTAAGTTTGAGAAAGTTTCTGCAGTGCAAATCACTGATTTATTTTTCCTTTAATGTGGTATTGAACCAGAGGACATGCAACTGGTCAATCAGATTAAACCATCTGGACTCCTGAGGAACTGAAGTACTGTCTTCATCAAAATACAGTGCTAAGAGTTGTGAAAGTCCCGGTGTGTTGTAGCTTGTTAGCCCAAGAGAATTATGTCTGAGAGAATTAAAGGAAACAGGAAAGACAAACAGCCTTACTCTCATCAGGGTTAGGTGAGGCGAGGATGGCGCTGTGCTTCCTCTTCACCTCCTCGACTTTCTCCGCCAGCGACTCGATAAAACCCCGGATCTCCTCCACCTGACAAGAGAGAGAGAGAGAGGGGGAGAGACCAAAAGGCACTTTAGATCTCCTCAGTGCTGAGGCAGGAAGCACCAGTGATTAGCCTGAGTGATGTTGATAGAAACTGAACTGAAGATGTCATTATCATATTAGAGGCAGAATGAAAGCAGAGTGAAGCAGGTTTAAGTGAAAGAACACACACACACACACACACACACACACACAGTATATAAAAAAAGGTTTTCATGTTTATCTGGGCTCAATCATAATTTCTATGTGACTTTACAAACACTGGAGCAATCTGTTACGTATGTGTGTATGTTAGAGATATGTGGACTGAATTACCATATCGTATCATCAATAAACAGACGTTTATTCACATGTCATTCACAATTATTACAAACAGAGCTACATCAATGAAGGATTTTTAACCAACAACAGTTAGCAGGAAAAATCACTATGTGCAATAAAAATGGCTCAGTTTCCTATTTTTGAAACAGAAAGCCAACACTCACCTGAGTCTTTACAACCTGTGATGTTACTCAGGATGTTGAGGTGTGAATGTGTGATTCAGGGCTTAAATAAGACTGTGCCATGAAAAAGGAGCTGCAAAAAGCACCAAAAGATGATAAGGATAGTACGCCACATAGCAACAAGTATGTGAATGATTCCAATATATACACTCAAAGGAATTTTTTTAAACAAATGAGCTTGTAGTCAGATCAGACCGAGCCAGGCTGGCTATTTCCCCTGTTTTTATGCTAAGCTAAGCTAACTGGCTGCTGTCAGGAGCTTCATATGTAGAGTACAGACATGAGAGCGGGATCAGAGCGAACTCTTGAAGAAAGCTGCTAAACGTATTTCCCGAAATGCTGAATTACTCCTTTACTTCATAAATGCATTAAAGAAAACTGACCCTGGAAGTGCATCACATTCGTGTCCTCCTTGAACCAATCACCTTCCTCCCCCGCCCTGCTGGTGCTGCCTCTGGTGCAGGCAACAGCTGGACGAGCAGTAGGTCACATCTGTCTGTGACTTCATCAATCTCTACTTTCATCTCAATCTGTCATCTACCCGCGATCACGTTCTCCTCCTCTACACCTGCTCCGCTACAGGCCAGCCTGTTCTCCCTTCATTCTTCTACGATACGTCCATTGTTATTTCCCCCGTGCATTTCTCTGGTTTGACATTTCCATTTGCAGTCCACCTTTAACATCTCACAGCTCTGCACTCCCTCCTTCTCTCCATCCATACATTCTTGAGCTTTTCCTCCTCCCAGCATGGGTTATTATTCTCCCATTATCTCTTTAATTAGCTGCTGATTGGATCTGTTTTTTAATAACAACATAATTGGCTCTGGAAGACCACTGGGGAGAGACCATGTATTACAGAAGGCGCGCTGAGGTACGAGTTAAGTAAGGTAAGGTAGGGAGAGATCACAAAGTTAAAAAGTAAGAGTGAGACAGGAATACAGGGAGGAGGAGGAGGAAATTAAAGAGATGGTAAGTGAGCAGAAGATGAAACCACTTTAAGCTGTCTCGGTTTGGAGACCATGTGTTAGTGAGTCATGGTGAGCGTCTCAGGTCTCCAAAGACATCAGGAAAATTTCATTGGTGTGGGAGAAAAAACAATTTTAACAGCTCACATACATGCAGAAACAAATAAAGAGACACACAAACACTCACAGGATGACGTCAACAATTTTAAAACTTCAATGAACTTAATGAGGTGCTTGTATGGACTGTGACATTTGTCTGTATTTGCTACAAACACCCCTGTGAACCAGCCAAATCCCACAGATTTGAAAAACAAAAAGAATTTGTCATCTAATTTGAGTTTCAAAAGTCAAATTTAAATCTGGTAAGGAGAATTTCAGAGGGCTTGAGGCCACAGTGAGTCTGTCTTGCTTTTGCTCACTTCATTCTTGCATCATCCCCCCGAAGAATTTTGGAGGCGTGATATGAGCCTCGCCACACGATGTAAGAAGAGCACTGATAAATGTAATGGTGTTTATATGCATATCATATATGGCAGATACATAAATGGATAAGGCTGAAAATCTAAGAAGACCTTTATTACTCTTTGTCTCACTGTGTAATAATCAGTGATTAAAGGGCAAATTGATACATTTTCTTTACTAAAAGCTTTGAAGTTTATACGCAGTTTAAAATTTAAAATTTAATATATGGAAAATCAGAATACTGTGTGTTTCTAAATCCATCATAATTCAACATATAGGCCTGATTTACCACAAAACTCCTGTAAACAAACCTTTTACAGCATCATAAAACATTAAAACCTTAGCAGGGTTCCTTAGTGTTACAGCTTAGTTCATAAGGCTGAAGCCTCAACTAAGCATCACATGTTGCAAACACAAGCATGCAAACACTTGTATCAAAGGTGTGAAGTCAACATACAACATATGGTCCAGATTATACATCCAGACTGAAGGCCATAAAGTGTGGAGGTAAACAGCCTGTATGTCACATGTCAAACCTGCTGTTGAATGACATTCATTACAGTTCCCATCTGTAGTGATGTAGCCACTCCAACTCCAACATTTAATTTTCAATACTCAATCACGACCAGGTTGTGTTTGCTTTAATAGTTTGACGAGCTGAGAGTAGAAAAACTTCTCTGGATCATTATGAAGTAAAATGTCACCGACAGGCAACAGTAAGGCTCCTCCATGTGTTTTAGTAGTGATGATCAATGGTTTCTTTCATCACTGTGTCAAGCCTGTGAATATGCCCAGAATTAAATATAAGAACATAAATCAGATCCTGGATGCAGCACATTCTCAATTTTCAAATGACACTGTGAAAAGTTAAAATATATCACGATACAAATATGTGAAGATTCAAATCGGTGAGAGAAAATTTATTGTGGTATTAAGGCGCAAAGAAATTAGTTTCACTACACAAAAAGCAAACACATTGTTTTTAATACCCTACCTTACAAATAAAGAGTGATTCTATAATTTAATAAAATCTAAGAAAAAAAATATTTTGTAAATTTTTGTCTGAGAAAATCTTTTTAATTCATAATTTGTCTTCAAAAAACATGAAACAATCATTAACCCAGTATTGTGAATTGTATCGAATCATGGGATGAATGTATCGTTACATCCCTTGTGAAAAGTATAAATGAATACCATTTCACATAACTTATATAATTAGATTTTCAGACCTTTATATCTATAACAACATTTTTAAATGACAATTTAAAGTAAAGGTAGGAATAAAGTTCAAAAATGTATTTTTTAACATACTAGTGAGATCAAAGTAAAGAATAATTAAATCATCCATCATGCCTTCTTTTCCAAGATGTTTTAGGCAAAGTAAGCTAAAAGAAATCAAAATCTAAATATTCTGATGTTTTACTATGAATAAGAATATTTTTTGTATAATAATATTTTAATGAGCAATTTCATGAAAATTGATACTTTCTTCCTCATCTTTGACTCACTTTCCCCTTGGGCTCTTGGAGATTGTGGATGACGATGTAAGAGACATAACCTGTATCACGCTGTTCATGTCTTGTTAAGGATAAATGTAGTTTTGTTTTTTTCATGGGATCTGTTGACAATAGGGTGTGACGAGATCTCGCGAGATTAAACTCGACGATATTTCTCGTCCCGTTAAAAATCTGTCTTGCGAGATTTGTGAGCTATCCAAACTTCTATTTGTGACCTGTGGGGGCAGTAATGCGCCTTTGCTACGTCTAGCCTGCCAGAACCTAAAGAAGGAGAAGGAAAAGAAGAAGAGGAGGAGAAGGAGGGGAAGCAGCCAGAATGACGTCGGAAAATACCGTATTACCATTGAAGATGCCCCGCCACTTTCAAAATCGTGTTGTTTTGGCAGCATTTTGGGTACCCCGGCGGGGTTTCTTAAAATCTCCGTCCTCCGTCTCGTTCTCCGTGAGCTGAGTGTATCGTCACACCCCTAAATATATATATATCTTATGCTGATACTGTATCAAAGACAGAAACATGTCACTTCACTGTGTATGGTGATGGTGGATAATGGTCACTATGTGGAAGATGGAGAAATTTAACCTCTCCAATCTTTTCAGTGGTAAAAACATTTTCACTTCAAACCTCAGCAGGTGAACCTCTGATGTGACATTAACAGCAGCTCAGTTCCTGTCAGTCTCTTCATACAAGGAAGGACTTTGACATTTCTCCACTAACAGTGTAGAAATAACACTGAGACACAGAAACAGATGGTGGAGTCTGACAGTTCAATGTGACTGAGTCTGTCTCTGTGATCAACGGGTGGATTCACTTTCAAGTTTAGGTGGAAGAAGAGCTAGATTGTGATATTTAATACTGAATAACTGCATTAGTATAGTAATATTAATATTTAAAAAACTGATTTAATGTAGAAAGAAATTAAGAGAAATACTGTAACCATGTATAAGAACAGTCAATTAATAACTATAAACTTCCCATACAAAGAAAGATAAAAGATCAGAAACTGACCTTGACCTTGAATCTTGTGAAAGGAATCTGTTGGGAAATATGTTTTAATGACAAAAATAGATGTAATAATAAAAATTCATTAATAACTGTTCCTTACTTGTAACTTGTAATCTACGTTAATGATGAAATAATAAGAAGTTTAACTTACACCATGAGGAAGACGAACCAACAGGGCTCCAGCCATGATGAAGCTGAATACTGAGACTGTCTATAAAGATACTTCAGTGTCTGACTACAAAACTTTGACATATTGAAGTGTCATTTTGCGGAACTTGTTTGGCAGGAAAACCACAAGCTAGCATCAAAAATTAATCCATACAGACAGGCACAGAAACCACAGTGTAGAGAAACTGCAGTGGTCACAAAACTCATGAAAGGCCCTATAGAGAGCCAGTATTTGGTTTGTCTGTTCTGTTCCACCGTAGCAACATGGCAGACTGCATGGAAGGCAATTTTGCAACGCTGATAAAAACAGGCTCAGATTTACTAAAAACACTTACAGTGGGGCAAAAAAAGTATTTAGTCAGCCACCCAATTGTGCAAAGTTCTCCCACTTAAAAAGATGAGAGAGGCCTGTAATTTTCATAGGTACACTTCAACTATGAGAGCAAAATGAGAAAAACAAAATCCAGGAAAAATCACATTGTAGTTATTTCATTTCAAGTTATTAAGGTTGCACCTGTTCTGTCCGTACTTTATTGTTGAGCAGATGAAACAGCCTTCTAGTTTCAAACTTTGCATATACGTCAGCAGCGAACATTTAACTTTGAAGTGAAGTAACAATAGGTAAATTACACTATAACAGCTATGATTTATTTAGAGTTAAACAGTCAAAAAATAAGATAAGTTTTATCTTACCAGGCAGCTGGTGAATGAAAGTATACATTTCATTAATAATTCATTAATACTCAGAAACACACAGATACATAAGCTTTTTATTAATGGACCTTGGTATCTGATGTGACTACTGTTTGCCGCCAATAACATTATATTTGGATTCTGATACCAAACTGTCACAATTAAGTCTTTGTTGACTTACCAGTCAATCTGTATCCAATATCTACCAATAAAAAGTCATTAAATACAATTAAATAAGCCCTATGCTTCAATTCTTCCACAAATACATACATATACACACAACCTCTGTATCCTCTCCTC